AAACACTAATTAACATAACAAACATGTTTTTGGACTGCGGTAAGAAAACCCACACATGAGCAGAGCGAGAACAAGCTAACCCCAACAACTCAAAGAATTCCAGTGTTGTGGAAGCCAAACTGGGACCACACAATTATCATTTCTGTTTGATCTTTTAGCACATCGTATGGTTTCACTAAAAGACTGCGCAAAGTTTGAAACAGTTTTTTTTTTCGGTGAATGGCTCTGTGGTGCCATTAAGGTTAGAACTCAAGCTGATTTTGTGTGTATTGTTATGACATCTCAGTTAATTTTTTTTAAACAATCTACACGTCTAGGAACAAACCCTAACAGAAAGGTGAGCGTTTGAAAACCTAACCGTGGCATTGGGAGAAAACAACATGGGACGCTGGGGTCCTTGAGTTAGTTTTCAAACGCAAGTACTTGAAAATAAAATTTTAATGAATATTTATGAAATTAAAAGGAGCAGGGAAAACTGTTGTTCATCCGACAGGCAAATACACTTCCTCTCTAAAACAGCTGTGAGGCGGGGAGGGACCTTTCATTTCTGACGTTCAAATCTGAGCTAACGTAGTGTTTTCACTTGACTGTTCGAAATGGATAAACACTTTTCAAACAAAAAAAAAACGTAACGCTTTTTTCTTTAGAAACTGATGTTCAATAACACAAAGACGTGATTTTAAACTAGCCACAAAAAGATTTACAGACTAAATTTGCTGCTTTACCTTTAAGCTAATGTTTCTCTACAAGTAGCTAACTAATTAGCAGCATGATTCATTAGCAGGAGCAGCTAGTTAGCAAGACTGTTAAATTTTTGCCTTATGGTGTACAATATTCTGATATAAGAAGAACAAGTTTCTTTAAAGAATGTATTTTAGAAGCACTAACATGTTGATTTTGTTAAGCTAACTTCTTCTGACCTTCAAAAAGAAAAAAAAAGAAAAAAATTGTGTAGGTCTTCTGGACGGGTTCTTCTTTAATGAAATGTTTCGTCTCTCCTCCAAGAGACTTCTTCAGTCTGAGAGTTTCAGGCAAAATTCGGGCTTTTAAGCACTGCCTCCATGTGACTGATACTCACATCACATGGCTATCGTTGACACCTAATTAACACTTATTGTTAACAGGGGGTGGAGTGATACTGGCAATGGCCGCGCTGTGGGAGGGGGACAACTGAAAACGGAGGCCTCCATCTCTGTTTAATGATGGACGGTCTTTCTTCACAAAAATGGGGAAACAAAGCAGCCACTGTTCAAAAGAATGTCCCAACACAGACGAGCTACATCTAATGGCCAGAACTCTGCAGTTTTCACTCATTTACAGGCCAGCGGTCACTCTTTCAGAGATGAGGATGTTCTCATTCTTGATAGAGAGGAACGTTGGTTTGAGAGAGGAGTAAAAGAAGCCATTTTTGTGAAGAAAGACCGTCCATCATTAAACTGAGGTGGAGGCCTCCGTTTTCAGTTGTCCCCCTCCTACAGCGCTGCCATTGGCAGTATCACTCCACCCCCTGTTAACAATAGGTGTTAATTAGGTGTCAACGATAGCCATGTGATGTGAGTATCAGTCACATGGAGGCAGGGCTTAAAAGCCTGAATTTTGCCTGAAACTCTCAGACTGAAGAAGTCTCTTGGAGGAGAGACGAAACGTTTCATTAAAGAAGAACCCGTCCAGAAGACCTATACAATTTTTTTCTTTTTGATTTTTTACCTGGATTACTGAGATGCATCAGGACATTCTTCTGACCTTKTTTTAAATTTTGCTGCGTTACACAAGACCTCCAGGTATTTTTTTTCCTAAACTGCAGTAAATCACTGCTTCATGAAAACACTGACATCACATTACCTCGTTTACACGTCAAGACTGAAATATTATCAACATTCCAACCCTATAAGTTTTCCAAATGTTTATCTAAAATAGCCTTTTTTCAATGCGACTTAAAAATGACGTAAGTACTTAGTGAAAATTGTAAAAAGTTATTAAGAATTTTTCTGAAAACGATGAACCGTTCGTTCATTATCAACAGAATTATAAATAATACATGTTAAAGTGTGAGGAGGGCTAAACGTCTACAAATGGTTGATTGTGTGTGTGCACACTGCAGGTGGTAAAGGGGTAACTCATGGGGGAAGCAGCTGCTTTATGAGGCCTATTCAGAGGATCTGAGGTGTCACTGCAAGGTTTTCTTTTCTCAGTGTTCCCTGGCTACTTCACACCTAAAGAAGCGTTTTTTTTTATTTTATTATCCCGTCAGAGGGCTGCTCTTCACAACAAGAAAATGCTTCGCCCCATGGATTTCACGCCCTTCTTATTTTGTTGACCTGCAGTGCAAAGAGTTCACACACAGGTATGAGTGTTGTTGCAGATGGTTCTTGAGTTACACCCAATAACCAAAAAAAACACCCAGGAGTCTGTGCAAAATGTAAATACAAATACAAATGCTCCTCTTTGCAAATCATTTAAACTGTAAGTGCAACTCAAATTTGTTCRAGAGATCGTGGCATTTGTAAAAACAGCAAAGATATTGGGGAAATATTTAAAACACAGGCATATTTTGAAGTGGATGCCAACAGGAAGTTATTGCTCACAAGTTTGTAGCAAAGCTAGATCAACTTTGTGACCTGACTTGGTTGACTAAAATTTTGTTTTGAAAATAATAAATAAATAAATAAATAAATAAATAAATAAATAAATAAATAAATAAATAAATAAATAAATAAATAAATAAAATGTTAATTCATTATTTACAATCGATTACACTTAAAAACTGGCCCAATGCTTTGTTCGGGCGCCACCTGGCATCATTATCATGTCATTTCCTTTTGAACTTAACTATGCCTCTATTGATGCGAATCTGCTGCTAACGGGAAGGCGAAACGCAAGAGATAAGAGCTTTGACTTCCCTCTTCCATTGTACAGCAAAGACAAGCCAAAGGTAGGAGGCAAAAGAGATAAGGAGGCTGAATTTCTTGTCTCAACTAGGAGAGTGACATATTTTCCACCTGAGCATATGATGGATTTAAGCTCCCACACCCCACTTTTGTCAAGCGGCCTCCAATAAAATGCTAATTTTTTTTTGCAAACCCTTACAGCTAATCTGGGCCAAACTGGGCTCATGGGTGGGGACAGTGAAGAGACCGTCCCCCAGGCCTGGCTCCAGGGAGGGACTCCAGTAACCTGCATCCAGGTGAGGGACATTGAACTCAACGCTGTCTTTTCAGTGTGCATTGCCAATGCAATGCACACTATTGTGATTCGTTTCCCATCCAAGTCATCTCAACTTTGTCATGCTTCTCCTCCTGCATGCTTTGTCCTAGAGCTGCCATTGTAATTTATATCTGTAAAGCTCCTGTGCCAAATGATGGCTATGCCTTTTGGTGCCTGTAAAACTTATAGTTTTTGAAATATAAATGTTTAATAAATTATAATGACAGTCAATGGAGCCTTGTATTGGTCCAATACTGCCCCCTGCTGCCTCTACACAATATGGTACTGCGCAATAGTTTTACAATATTTAAACTCAGTAGTTCAGTGATTACAATATTAATATGATTGTATTTTGATGTTTTACTGTAATACTGTCTTTA